CTCTCGACAGCTGCTCTTTAATCAAGCTTTATAAAGGCAGAGGATGCAGGAAGCCACACATTTCACAAATATCACACATGGCTGAAAAGATACAGTACCAAGGTAAAAATGCAAGTTGACAGTGATGGCTCCATCAAAGGGTTTTGAGCCGAATGACATTTCTTACAGAGCTGAGTTCAGAGAGTTTGCATATAGCTCCCAATCAAACATGGAACGGCCTGTATTTTTAACCATGTGGAACAAAGCACTGCATATGACTCAGACATAAAAGAAGAACAGCTACAAAGACAAAGATTGCTTAATATGGAGCAAATCGTGCTTAGGGGTATATAATTGTAGACTGACATTTCAAAAGCTGATGTTAGTACATCTCACTTTGATAAAACTTACAGTTTTAAAAAATGCCTTTAACCTATCAAACATCCACAAGAACATCATGTTCCCTCTATGAGGTAGTGTATGATTAGACAAACATACCTAGAAACTTTCCATGGTTACAAACTTTGCCAGAACAACAGATAATTAGAATACCTTTTCAAATTAAAGGGGTCATATGATGCAATTTACATTTTTCCTTTCTCTTTGGAGTGTTACAAGCTCTTGGTGCATAAAGAAGATCTGTAAAGTTGCAAAGACTAAAGTCTCAAATCCAAAGAGATATTCTTTATAAAAGTTAAGACTCGTCCACACCCTCCTAAAACGCCTCGTTTAAACACGCCCCCACATGTCTACGTCACTGTGTGGTAAGATTTGCATAACACCACCCAAATGTTCACGCAAATAAAGAAGGCATAACTTTTATTCTCGCTGTAGTATTGTTGCCGCCGCTGCCATTTTGTGGATATGTTGTGTGTTTCATTGTGAAAGCGAAATTACTTTGTTTGGCCTTCCAAAAGAGGACGATATCCGCTTTGTCATGCCTAGAGATGATCCGTGCTGGTCGCTGAGGAAAAACATCAACTTCGTGCTGTCAATCGCCGGATCGGCTTTCACCGTGGAAGAAGCGGAGTCCAGCCCGGGGTCGTCACATGTGGTTGCCGCAAGCCTCCTTTGTCGAATCCGCCGGGCGCCACTCACTGAAGCAGCTGTGTGTTTCATTGTGAAAGCAAAATACTTTGTTTGGCCTTCCAAAAGAGGACATAATGTTTCTATAATGTGGGGCAGTTCCAACTTTGCAAGGACAGTCTGGTGCTTCTGACTCACAGCCTGTAAGTATGTTTTTTATATTTAAAGAATTTGCCACTGATGATTCAAACGCGAGTTTGAGCAGTGTAGAGTAGCGCTTATTGTTTGTCATTTCTCAGATCACAAATGCAGACATGGTTTTACGTTTGCGCGGCGCAATACGCAACGCAAAGCATAAAAACACAGTATAAGTCATTACAATCAGTAATTATGTCCCCACTGGATGCAACAAATGCCTCGTTTGTAATGGGTTTTATTGGTTTTGTCTCATCGTGCCGGACACATGGAAACCATAGACCGTATGATGGAAACACAATATGGTAAGGGGCGTAACATTTCTGTCACACGCTTGAGGTATTCGGCCAATCACAATGCACTGGATAGCTGGCCAATCAGAGCACACCTCGCTTTTCAGACCGATGAGCTTTGTAAAAATCGACACATTTCAGAAAGGCGGGGCATAGAGGAGAAACAATAATGTACATTATGTGGAAAATAATGTGTTTTTTAACCTTAAACCGCATAAACACATTGCATTACACCAAATACACAAAATAATGTTCTTTTTAGCAACATCATATGACGGTCAAGTTAATTCTTTGTCGTCTAATTTTTTATCTTAAAATCAATTTTATTCACCATCATTTTCGTTTCTATAATGTGTGAATATATCCCCTATCGTATTCTACAACAAAAACAATCAGAGCGCCTTGTTATCACTAGTTTTATTTAGTTTTATACACTATTCACTGTTACTTGCTTTAATGGCGGATGTGTGTCTACCTTTGAGTGAAGGTGAGGACACCGAATGCAGCTCGAGCTGGAGGCCGTGGAGAAGCAGATCTGCGACCTGGTGGAGAAGCAGACCCAGCTGAGAGAGCGGATAGCCGCGCTGGAAACATCCCAGGCTGACGCTCACAAGTCCGAGGTAAGTATGTTTTTTCTCCATTCTGTCACCGATGGAGTTTTGGTTCCTTGCCGCTGTCGCCTCTGGCTTGCTTAGTTGGGGACACTTCATTTCCAGCGATATCGTTGACTTGATTGCAAATGATTGCAAAGATACTATTTAAACTGAACTGAGCTGGATGATGACATCACTGAATTGAATGATGAACTGTCTTTAACTGAATTAGTGTTTACTATTGTCATTTTGCATTATTGACACACTATTTTCATAATGCGGTTCAGTTGCTTTGACACAATCTGTATTGTTAAAAGCACTATATAAATAAAGGTGACTTGACTTGACTTGACCCCTTTACTCGTCCACGCCCTCCTAAAACGCCTCGTTCAAACACGCCCCCATGTCACAATGTGGGAAGATTTGCATAACGCCGCCCAAATGTTCACGCAAAGAAGGCGTAACTTTATTGTTGCTGCCACCGCCTCCGCCATGCTGTGAAGACGCTGTGTGTTTCGTTACGAAAGCGAAACTACTTTGTTTGGCCTTCCAAAAGAGGACACGCCTAGAAATCAGTGGTTAAGTTGTATTTACAACACTGTTCCAGAACAGTTCAACCCAAATATTCAGATATGTGCAGCTCATTTTATGGAGGACTGTTTCCTGATCCTGGTAGAGTAGACTACAATGCCGGCTGTTCTGACTCACAGTCTGTAAGTACATTTTCATATTTAAAGAATTTGCCACTGATTATTCAAACGCGAGTTTTGAGCAGTGTAGAGTAGCGCTTGTTGTTTGTCATTTTTCCGATCACAAATGCAGACATGGTTTTATGTTTATGCGGCGTGATGCAACACAATGCATAAAAAGACAGTATAAGTCATTATAATCCATAATTATGTCCTCACTGGATGCAACAAATGCCTCGTTTATAATGAGTTTTAATGTTTTTGTCTCGTCGCTCAGCGTCACAATATGGTAAGGGGCGTAACATTTCCGTCACACGCTTGAGGTGTTCAGTTGCTTTGACACAATCTGTATTGTTAAAAGCACTATATAAATAAAGGTGACTTGACTTGACTTGACCCCTTTACTCGTCCACGCCCTCCTAAAACGCCTCGTTCAAACACGCCCCCATGTCACAATGTGGGAAGATTTGCATAACGCCGCCCAAATGTTCACGCAAAGAAGGCGTAACTTTATTGTTGCTGCCACCGCCTCCGCCATGCTGTGAAGACGCTGTGTGTTTCGTTACGAAAGCGAAACTACTTTGTTTGGCCTTCCAAAAGAGGACACGCCTAGAAATCAGTGGTTAAGTTGTATTTACAACACTGTTCCAGAACAGTTCAACCCAAATATTCAGATATGTGCAGCTCATTTTATGGAGGACTGTTTCCTGATCCTGGTAGAGTAGACTACAATGCCGGCTGTTCTGACTCACAGTCTGTAAGTACATTTTCATATTTAAAGAATTTGCCACTGATTATTCAAACGCGAGTTTTGAGCAGTGTAGAGTAGCGCTTGTTGTTTGTCATTTTTCCGATCACAAATGCAGACATGGTTTTATGTTTATGCGGCGTGATGCAACACAATGCATAAAAAGACAGTATAAGTCATTATAATCCATAATTATGTCCTCACTGGATGCAACAAATGCCTCGTTTATAATGAGTTTTAATGTTTTTGTCTCGTCGCTCAGCGTCACAATATGGTAAGGGGCGTAACATTTCCGTCACACGCTTGAGGTATTCGGCCAATCACAACGCACTGGATCGCTGGCCAATCAGAGCACATGTTGCTTTTCAGACCGATGAGCTTTGTAAAAATCGAAAGGCGGGGCATAGAGGAGAAACAATAATGTACAGTATGTGGAAAATAATGTGTTTTTTGAACCTTAAACCGCATAAACACATTGTATTACACCAAATACACAAAATAATGTTCTTTTTAGCACATCATATGACCCCTTTAAGAATTCCTGTTTCTGAACTAAACATTTGAAAATCTAATCAGAATCAGATATTTAGGAAAATACAGTGAGTCTTTCATAGTGTGTTGTCAGATGTGATGAATTATGAACTGAATTTAATTTCAATTAAAATTCTGAATAAAAATAAAATCAATCCAGTTCTGCACTGCAATACCAAGCAAAGGCACAAGAGGGCACCACAGCAATGCTGTTCTGAGGATTGTTTCCCATTGATTATTAGTGATCAAATTATAATTTGACTCCCTATTTAAATAAGTTAGCTTTCAGAAGGTTGGTAGTAAATAATTAGTGTCTGGCAAGTGAAATGTAACCTCTTTTATTCTGGCACATGGGGCAAAGTGAGTCTTACCTGTCCAGCTCAGTCCCAGATGATCAGCAACAATGGCCATACGAAGGTCTGTTCTCTCACAGGGACTCTGTGGACCTGTCATGACATACAGAACAAAAACATTACAAACATGTTACTTATTCATTTCAAAAGAAAAATCCAGATGACTTCCTTCTTTTCTGGCCAAAACAAGGAAAAATTAACAAGATCTTTCTCCAACAGAACCTATTAACAGGAGAGGAAAAATTAAAGGACATTTTTAGAATAGTACTATGTTTGGCTAGAAAAGGAAGAACAGGCAAGACAGTGAACTAGAACATTTCAGCTACACATTTGGTGCTCTGATTGTGTATGTGAAACAATTTTTCCACAGAATCTATGCAGGCAATAACTGAGTTTATACAACAGTTTAAAAAACATTAAATCAAAACATTAACAAAAAAGAGACTTTGTTGAAATGAGGCATGCAGACAACATAGTACTGTAAATTTTTTCTAACAAAGTTAACAAACACTGAAGCAGGTATAAATTCCTCAACAACGCTCCTTTAACCAACCCAGCACAGACAGACTGTTCAGTGCCCCACCCGTCATTATTATGATAAATTATCTGTGGAAGGTAGGGGAGAGAGAAGGGGAGATCTGACAGGGACAGATACAGTACGGTACAGTCACACAGCACAGTGATGAAAGAATGACAAGAATGACAGCTATTGTTCACGCCACAGGCAATCCAGTCAGTCACAACGGCTCATGCAACTAAAGATCAAGTAAAGTTTTCAATAAAGTTTTACAAACTAGGCTTGATCTCCGCGACGGGGGGCGACCTGCGAGCCCCATCATTCTTACTGCCCTCCTTCCCTCCTCCAGTCCGCTTACTCCTCCTCCTCTCACTGCCCGCCGCCCTTGTGACCTTTGTCCTTGAGGGTGTGACCCCTCGGGAGGAGCCAGAGGAGAGGGAGGGCTGGGACTGAGAGGGGTCCGATAGTGAGATGCTTCGTGATGTGCTGCTGTCCTCCTCCGATTGCGACTGCTCTCCCTGTGTCTGTTTCTCCTCGTCTGAAAGTCGTTCGGCCACCTTTATTGCTTCTCCGCTAACATTTTTTAAGAACTCAATTGACTGCCTACACACCTCACTAAAGCTGCCTCTACCTGCCTTGTTAACTGAACCATTAGAAGCACCAGATGACCTGTCTTTAAAAGGCAGCCTAAAGGGAACTACTGGTCTGACTGATCTGTCTGACTCTGTGAGCTTACTTGACCTTGGAACTACCTGAGCTGTGACAGCTGAGTTAACAGCACCATTTCTTTTGATGTCCTTGACAGGTATTCTAGACTTGGGCTCAGGCGTTATGGATGCAGGATCCACTTTCCTTGCCTCTGGCCTCACAACTTGTTGAGGCTTCTGCTTCCCTGAACTGAGTGTGTTAAAACTGAACCCTGCTGCCTTGACTGGGAGCCTAGACTTGGTCTGCCTGTTTTCTGAGACTACTTTAGTCTGAGGACTCTCAGTAATGGCTTTGTCCGCTCTCTCTAAAGACTCCCTACAAAACTGAGCTTCTATTCTACTAGCTTTCTGTAAGGTGGGTTCAGAAGATGACTGCAAATTGAACACTACACTACCACACTGGATGTAGTTGGCCTGCACATTAGATGACTCTAAATTATTGTTGTTATTGTAGTTTTCTGATGAGTAATCTTTTCTGCCAGTCTGGGAAGAGTTAGTGCCCCTGCTATCAAAGTGACTTTCAGCTAATTGACTTGACTCCAAGCTAATGTATTCCGGCATCTGACTGTCTGAGGACTCAGTTTTAGCATCAGTCAGTTCAGCTGAGCCAGGGTCTTTCTTTATAGTAATGGAAGCTGCGATGCCCATCTTAATGGGGGTGCGTAATTTGGGGTCGACCTTGGAGGCTGTGACAGTGCATGAGGTGGTGTCAGCAAATGGAGGTGCGTCCAGGCAGTCAGCACTGCCTTGCACTGTGCTGCCTCTGGATGGCGTTAAATCTGTGGTTGCCTCTACCTTCCCCTCTACAGCTCTTTCCCCTGCCTTTGAGTGAGAGGCGACTACCCCCGCATTCCTGCCCCCTTTCCCCTTGTCCCCTGACTGCCCATCTGATGTATGCTCACCAATCTGGAAAAACTGAAGTCTCTCTTCAACAAAGTCCCTCTTGCTCATGTCAATAGCACCACTGCGGGTCATCTCAAACATCTTGCCCTCGTGGAAGGGGAAAGGGTTGGGCTCACTAGTTGGGGTGCTCTCATCTGTTGGGGTTCTTGCTGGAGTGGTATCCGGCGTGGTTGCTTGTGATTTGTCTTCCACTGACAAAGCACAGGGCTTCGGATCTTCATCATTGTTTTTAGCATCAAAAGCTCCCTCCTCTCCAACTTTACCAGACCATGGATCGAAATCCAAGCCTTTAGTAGCCACAGTTTTAAAGGTAGTGTTTATGCCCTCCTCTAGTTGGGACTTAAAATAATCATCTGTAAAACCTTGTCTATCTGGGTGTCTTCCCTCCAAAGAATAGATTTTATCCTCTTTCCCATTGTCTGACTTTTTCCCAGATGGCCTCTTTGTTTTTGCCTTTTCCCCTATTTCCTCATTTGGCGTGCTCTCCTCTTCAATCACTTCAAGTTTGCTCTGGCTGAAAGGCCGATCTCCTGCTTTTCCCTCATTCAACAGGCTGGATGTTTTAGGGTCACTCAGTCCATCGTCCTCATCTTGTAGGTCATACCCATCAAGAGAATCTATCTCAGTGGCATCAGTATCATGGGAAAATTCAGCAGTTGTTGCTAATGAGCAATCAGTGATAGATTGATCATTTCCATTCTGTTCACATTCTACCTCTTCTCCTTTGACAATGCCATTGATACCTGATTCCTTTTGGTGTGAGCTGTTTCTCTCTGGTTTCGTAGGCTTAACATGTTTCTCACACTCCTCAGCCATTTTGAATGTGTACTTCTTAAGGGGGGCAGGCTGAAAAACAGATTCATCATCACTAGAGTCACTATTGTCAGCTCCAGGTGGAAGAGGGGAAGGAGGCTGGACTCTGATTACTGGCTCTGCAAAGAGATGTCTGTCATGTTCCTCTTGAAGGTTCACCTCCATCATCTCTGTTTCTGCTTCTGAGGAAGGACATGACCCCTTCTTTTCAGGGTCAGCATGCTCAGTTTCTAAAGGTGGTGGTGGTGGGAACTCGATGTAAGCTATGCGCTTGTCTTTTGACCTTTTTCCATTTGAGTCTTGCTTTCTTTTTGAAGGTTCTGATGATTGAGTGGCAGATTTGGCTTTTTCTGCTGATACTGCCTTGAAAATGAATGTCTTAGGCTGCTCCTCTTCCTCTGACTCCTCTGGGATTGGGCTAGGCATGCCAGCCATGGAACTGATGACAGGCTCAGGAGCTCTGGAGTTCAGGTCGTAGCTGACCTCCTCAAAGGTAGGCATTTCAGGAGTTACTGGACTCTTCCCTGAACTGTCCATAAATGTAACCTGCTCTAACGTGTCATCTTCAGGGCTTCCCTGTGGAGATTGCGGCTGTTTCTGTTTGACAGAATAAAATGCTCCACGTGTTTCATGTACTGTCCTGCTCTCATGGCTTACAACTTTTTTGTAAGTGCTTAACTGGCCAGTGGCAGTTTCTTTCTCATACTGTTTACCTACTTGAACGCTGACATACACAGGAAGAGGTTTAATGTCCGCAGTGACACCTGGGGTCACTTTTTCAATATACTCAACTTGGTTATCATCCACACCATTACAGACTATATTAACAATCTGCCTGCTAGAATCTGAGTTCACTACAGATGACACATCACTAGGTGATTTGCTAGCCCCAGAATTAGGGTACTGTGTATTTCTGGCTATGTGAGACCCTGTTCTTTCAGATTTAATGGAGGAATCTAACTTTAAAGTACTACTTTGATGATGGTCTATAAAACTAGATGAAACCCTAACAGGAATTTGTGATTCCGAGTTTTTTTTTAGAGCACCATTGCAATTTTCAGCATTACTAGGATCTTCTCGAATTACAAGCTCTGTGTAAATTATCTTTTTAGTTGTTTCTTCTGTCATGGTGTTTCCATCTCTCAATGAGTGCTGCTCATTCTGTGAGTCATCCTTTTGCCTATCATGCACTAGAGTATGAGTGAGCTTTGTCTTTTGTCCTTTCAGTTGTCCATTGCCATGGTTTTCCCAAGTTTTGTATATTTTCCTATCTTCATTGGCAATTTGCTCCTTACTGTAAACATTTTGGTGATGTTTTGGTGAAGAGTTATCTGACCTATTTCTTTGTCTGTCACTCTGCTGATTTTGGGCAAATGCTTGAGCCTTTCGTACATTGTAACTGTGCCCACCCTCACTATCTTTTTTGGGGCTTCTCTCACTTTCTGAAGACTCTATTGACCTTGGTATTTTCCCCCCTGCAAAAACTTGATAAACAGGCAGCTTACTTTCCTGCAGCTTCCTCACTGGGGAGCCTGAAGTTTGTCCCCATTGCGGACCTTTATCTTGTTTCTGGGTCTCTGATTCAAATTTCATTCTTACCGAGCTAACCTTAGATGTTGAGGGCTGGAAATATTTAGACGAATCACTTGCACTGCTTGTGGATGAGCTGTCTCCCTTTTTTGGGTCATCATTGTATCGAAGCAAGACTCGTCTTTCAGGACTGCTTGGTAGACTGGCACATTTTCTGTCATGGGAATCATACTTATCCCTAAACCGGTCTCTACTCCAGTCCTCTCCAGTACCTCCATTCCTGTACACTGACCTCTCTGGGCTACTACATGTTGAGTTGGGCCCAGAACGAGTCTCCCTCGCATCTTGTCTACGATGCTTCTTTTCAGGGGACTGAAGCTCATCATTCAGTTTTTCAGTTTTATCACGAAAGAATTGTGAGACTTCACTAAGTTTTTCCTCTGCCTCTTTTACAGTTCTGTCTACTCTGTCCTCATATTTGTGATTCTCTCTGCTGTTACTCTGCCCATCCTCAGAAACTCTCATCCAAACAGACTTTTTTGGACTCTCAGGATCAGAAGCATACTGCAGCAAAGTGAGTTTGTCATAATTGTCATCCTCTGATGATCTACCTGACCTATCAGGCTTTAGCATGAATTCTCTAATTGAACCACCTTGTGTTCCCTCACCATAATATCGAGACCTGTCAATCACAGATTCATCTGAGTCTGAATGGGAAGAGTCAAATTTTTCTGACAGGAGCATTTTCTCTGCAAATTTGTATGATTCTCCCCTCGTTTCAGAGGATTCATCATCGTGGTACTCCACTGACTGCTGACTAAGCAATTTCAAGGTCTTATCATCCTCCACAGAGACAGGCTTGTGTATTCTGGAGTCCAGATAACAAGGAAGAGATTCTTCAGGTTCTATGTCATGTTGCTCATTGCCCATCCTATTTTGCAGTTCTTTCATGCCACTTCTACCCTGATATATGTACATTTCCTTCTCAGGGTGATTTTTTGTTTCTCTGATAATTACTTCAGTTGGTTCAGCTTTGTTGCCTTTCTCGATGTGAACCTCAATGATACGTTCGACTTTGGGCATTGGGTCAAGAGGCCTGACAGATGGATCTGCCCCTTCACTGCTGCTTTTGTGCTCAAACAGGCCTGTTAACTCCCTAGATGGATCCTTCCCAGATTGGAAGGCCTTCATTATGTCTCGTACAGACATGGTCTCCTCCATCCTCTTAGATGCAGCCTCTTTAATGGGGGGTTTGTGGTACACCATTCTTGTAGTTGTTGTTATGTGAGTTTCCTCTTTGACCCGCATACCTTTGCTCATCACATCATCCTCTGCATTGACTCTGGCTTGGTAAGCTTTAACTCTTTCTTTGATCGACCCACCAGGTGATCGAGGCTCAGTGTCTGAACATCGCAGTGGAGGCTTTGTCATTCTAGCATCTTCCAAAGCTGGCTCCTTAGGATCCTCTGGAGGCTCATAACTCCTTATGACATGTACAACCTCAGTGCGTGTTTCAGTGATGACAGGAGGAATATCCTGAAAGAGTCCTTTGGGCCCCATTCCTTCTGCACTTTGGGGGGCAGAGGGAGTTCTCTCACTGCGAGTTTCAAACCCACTGTCTGAAAGTGGACTCTTGTCTTGGTCATGGGAGACATCATCAGGAGAGTCTAGTGCTATTTCAGGGCCAAACAATGCATCGGCTAGCTTTGAAAGTTCTTTTTCTGAAGGTGAAGGGCGCATGTTATTTGGAGGCATTTTGAGCTTGTGTTCCTGTAATGCCATTGCAGGTTTCAGGACCCGTTTTTGTTTCTCATCTCCTTCTTTCCTTGCTTCCTCAGTTCTTTGTTTAGCCTCTGCTATTTTAGAAATAGAACTTGTGCCAATGTCATTGGTTAGGTAATCAACAACTTTAGCAAGGTTAAAATCTCTGTCAGATACTGTTTTTGTTTTGACTTGAGGGGTTAATGTTTCATATCGAGGGGGGCATCTCCACTCATTTTGTGGATTATTATCTATGTCAACCTCTAGGACATCTTCTGTTTTGCTGTTTTTAATATTTGCCTTACTCTCTCTCAAAACATCCTTGCTAAGAATTTCACTGACTTTGACCAGGTCCTGTTTGACTTTCTCTACTATCTTGAAAGGCTCCTCATCTTCCCCTTTATGTTCTTTAGACTCAGAATGATAACCTTTGGAGCTTGAATTTGTATCAGTTTGCAAAATTGCAGACATTCTGATTAGGTCCTCCTTCATTTCAGCCACATCTTTTAGAATCTCCTGGCTATTGGACAGAGGGGATGAAGATGTAGCAGATTTTATTGTTCCTGGGGACATGTGCATGGGAGTCTTGACAGGAGATAGAGTTCTGGCAAAAGAGGACTGAGTCTGGGCATTAACCTCTTGGGGCATGGCTCTTCTGGGGGACAGGAGAGCAGCTGTTGACATGGAGACTTCAGGGAGCTTTTTAAATTGGTGTTCTGGTAAGACATTTATAACTGAATAGACAGGGACTGTAATAGTGCTGGAAGTTACAGTTGTGGTAGAATTCGGAGGGGATCTAAGGGAGGCATACAGTGAGTTGGATGCAGAGGAACGGATAGACTGGTAAGAGGATGAGGGAGTGGAGGACACTGACTTTAGTGTGCCATAGCCAGCAGAGCAGGAATTGAAAGTTTTTTCCACTTCATCAAAGGCAGCATTCACACTTGTTGTTGCTGCATTTGTTGTGGCTTGAATTCTTTCCTGCAGGGTGCTGGTAAGATGGGTTGTTGGGGAGGAGGAGCGATATTTGGTTGGGGAAACTGTCCCATTGATCAGTGCAGCTGCTGTAGTGGCCGAGCCGGATTTCAATGGTGAGGAGAGGGATGACAGATATCCTCTGGCAGAGGCATCAGTGTTGGTTCTGATAGAGGAAAAGCCCGGGACAGTTTTAATGGGGGAGCAGGTTGCTGGAGGGTTTGAGGTTACGACAGACTTATATGGCAAACTTGAGCTGTACATGTTTAGAGAAGACTTAGGTGAGGCTGGAGGAGTAATAGCAATGGAGGATCTTTCCAGCAAGGTTCCGCCAGATGGTACAGGAGATGTCCTGGCTGAGAGCCCTGTGAGGCCTTTAAATGAAACTGGATCAGGGGCACTTTTGACTGGAGATGACAGAAGGGTGGGGGAAGCTTGGACTGGATACTGGGCACCTTGAACTACAGTTTTTATTGGTGAGGAGATTGTTCTGTAGGATCGAATTGGTGATGCAACATCACTGGCAGATTTGATGGAAGATGCTGGTGAACCTCCAATAATAGATTTGATAGGAGAGGCAGAGTTTACAGACCACACCGACCTCAGTGGGGAGGCTGAGGGGGTGTTGGATGAGGAGCTGGAGAGGGAGCCAAATCCAGACTTGGTCTGGCTAGGGACGTTGACGGGAGAGCTTGTCGCCCAGGCCTGGTAGGAGCGCGTCGTAAAGACAGGCTTGTAAGCGTAGCCAGAAGGCTGCGGCGTGGTTTTTGGAGTGGTGTTATGGCCTTTTTCAGCTGTTTCTAGCATAATTAAATTAATAAACAAAGTAAACGGAAATAGTTAAATAAGAGAGAAAAGAGAAACAAGAAAGATTTAGTCAGGGGATAAATCCAAAAACAAGCAGCAGTGGAAATACTGAAACTGTGGAGGCTTTTGACAATGAAAAGTGAAAAAAAAAACACAAAAAAACACATAACACATGTCTGTGGCACATGGGTGGCGATGCAAAATTATGAAAAAATATCTGCCACTTAAATAAACCAAGAAGCTCAAAATGGTCTGAAACTATTATCAGATATAAAATGATTAAAATTAATTTCTGCTTAGGGATGTCATAAGTACTGGTGTTTAGGTATGAAATCCTACAGTATTGGTAGTACTGAGTACAGAGTTAATTTATATTGCGTCAATAAAATTTCAGTCAAAACAGATCTGTGCATTAGGCCTTGCAGTGTAAATGCAGCCTAACAGACCTTCCAATATTTATTATATCATCAATATTAAACAAACAAAATTGTATGGAAAAAACACTCACCGATCACAGCTGGGCAACATTAATACATTTAATAAACAATCTACAATTGAACATAAACACAAAGTTAGGCCTACAAGAAAAAAAAAGAAATTGTACAGCTAATTTTTGAATTACAATCACTATTTACAGAATATATATGTAATGTTTAATTGAGAAACTCGAATGCTATATGCCATTGTTTTAATTTATTGTTAATATTTACCTTAATAATTAACTTTTTAATTAATGGAGCATGTTCAATAGCCTATTAGTTTTAGCTGTGGTTTTGAAATGAAAATTCACTGGTATTGGCTACTGACATTTTGGTATTGTGACAAACCTACTTTCCTTTACCCTCAAATGGCAACAAGCAGATAAAGCGGACCAATTACAAGGCACAGAGTTTTAAAGGGGTCATGAACTGAGAAATCAAATTTCCCTTGATCTTTTGAAATATAACAGGTCAATGTACTATAAAAACATCCTGTAAGTTTCAAAACTCAAAAGTTTATCGTTAGTATAAAAACAGCTTTTATTGAAATCAAGCTCAAAAAATGACTTGTTTTGGAATGTGCCACTTTATGGCATAGTAATGTGGCTAAACACTGCCTTCGCAGGGGAAGATCAATGACTGCTTCTACATCACTGCCTCTTTAGCCCCGCCCACTGATACGCGCTTGTAGTAGGAGGAGAGGAAATACTAGAGAGATGCAAACACAGGATTACTCCATCAACAGACCCATACATATGACATTACAAGATTACAAGACACTGTGTAGTGTAAATTGTGAAAAATAATCTTTGAATACCTTCCTTGTGATCCTAACATATCTAGATGGGACGCGAGCGCTGTTGCATCATGTCGCGAATCAATTTCTCTTTCAGGTCAGAAGCGGCGTGAATGCTTGTATGTCATCAGTGTACTGTCTGGGATTTGTTGCATCAATCCGTGCCACATCAAGTGTAGACAGAATCACAGATTATAATGGGTTCTGTTGTCTATAGTCGCGTTGCATGTCCGGTGTAAACATGCGATAAAATTAGCAAAGAGCTCCGGATCTCGTCAGTTAAACACTATTTGTTTGTTTGCCGTACTTTGCTACATGTTCATTGTAAAGAAGACAGTATGATGCAGGCTTTTCAGAGAGACTAAAAGTAAATGATGATGCAATGCTGAATCTGACTAGAGTGGATCCAACAGTAATGTCACAACACATAAGCATGAGTAAAGTATGTTTTTACATTTTTAGACCGTTTGATATATACTGAGTATTTAAACGTTTTTAACCCAAATGACCCATGTTGTTTTCAGAGTATGTCACAGCAGCGTCCATCTGTTATTTTAATAAGCAAAACTTAGCAAATCATAGCAGTGGGCTTCACTTGCGAGTCTTGAATGCGCCCCCATCTACAAAAACAGACTGTTCTGCAGAGAGGCTCAAAAACAGGATAGAACATTGCCTGCTACTTCTAAATTATGTTTTTTAAAATGTAAAATCACACTAACATTATGGGCCCTATCATACACCCGGCGCAATGCGGCACAAGGCACGGCACAAGTGTTTTTGCTAGTTTCAGCCCGACGCAGTTCTCATTTTCCCGTCCTGCGCCGCGTTGTTTAAATAGCAAATGCATTTGCGCCCATGGGCGTGCTGGTCTAAAAAAGAGGTGTGTTCAGGCACATTGTTGGCGCGTTGCTATTTTGAGGAACTGAAAATAGACTGCGCCATAGACCAACTCAAATCTGGTCTAAAATATGTTTTCTTTGTTAGTTAAAGAGCGTGTTAGTAATATGCGCCTATAGGTGGGTGCACTACGCGCGTACACTTTGCTTATTACACACACAGGGACGCGCAGCAGCACACAAACATTTAAAAAAATTACAAATTACATTCCGCCATTTAAATAGCGAACCCGCCATGGCGCGAGCACAACTGGCTTTTAAAGGGGATGGGAGATTAGACTCTGATTGGTTTATTGCACGTTACGCCCAAAAAACACCCATTACTCATCAAGAGAATATGGAAAACACGTTTAGACCATGCGCCCGAGCGCGCTGACCGTTTTCCCGTCGTTAAAGGGATAGTTCACCCAAAAATTGTATGTTTATCTGCTTACCCCCAGGGCATCCAAGATGTAGGTGACTGTTTCTTCAGTAGAACTCAAACGAAGATTTTTAACTCAAACAGTTGCAGTCTGTCAGTCTTATAATGGAAGTGAATAGGAATCACGGCTTTGAGAGTAAAAAAAAACATACACAAACAAAACCAAATTAAACCCTGCGGCTCGTGACGATACATTGATCCTAATTGAGATTGTAGATACAGTGTCAATGGTTCATTTGAGAGGTAGGTGGCGGTAATGCACTTATAAGTCTGCGATCCCCGTAAAGCAAGAAGAAGAAGAAGACGCCTCACATGCCTGCTGTCGAGGACGCGCTCAGGACAGTTCAGACATTGCAGTGCATCAGAGGTAAAAACGATATAAATGCTGTTCAGTTTCTTGCACAGACCGATCGTTTTGTGTCTTTACACATCAATGTATCGTCACGAGCCGCAGGGTTTAATTTGGTTTTGTTTGTGTCTGTTTTTTTTTTACTCTCAAAGCCGTGATTCACATTCCCTTCCATTATAAGACTGACAGACTGCAACGGTTTGAGTTCAAATGTCATTTATATCGTGATGCATCGTTTCTAACATATTTGCATCGGTCAAAAACGATTCATTTATATAGTATATAATTACTAGTGGATGCGCTATACTTTTATTATTTAGAAAGTGACCAATAATCTGTGACCAATATTTTATATGTAGATTGCGTTCTCCTCTCTAAACTGTTTTTCAAGCGCGCTCTCTCATCACCGCTGCTGCTGCGTGAATATGCCGCATCACAACACCACGGTGGGGATTAAAGTCCAAAACCTGACTTGAAATAACCTAACAAATTAATTGGGGCTAATAGCGGTTCCATTAACGACAAATTAAATTCACACAATCTAACTAATTTGTGCACGCTTATTCTTAAACAGACCTTAATGTCGATCATGAATCAAATCGATCCACCATCGCAAACAGCGAATATATCTGTGCTGTTTAATGCATTTGAGACGTTGTGTTTTCCTCGGTGCATAACTGACATGTCACAGGTATATTTTTCATCTGTAAATGTTAGAAAGTCATGTAAACATATCCAGTTTGCTGTCAGGAGTGGGCGAGGCATGCGAGAGCAACAAGCGCAGCTGTGCGCATGCACGCTAAACAGAAGGAGCACAATCGAATAGGAGCGAGTAATTCCGAGTAAAATATACATTTTGCTAAAAATTAGTTTTTGGACATTAAATGTGTCTTTTGTAGAATTTTAAACCTACATATAAAGTGTATTTTTATGATAGCAGTAACTGCGAGTAAAATATACATTTTGCTAAAAATTAGTTTTTGGACATTAAATGTGTCTTTTGTAGAATTTTAAACCTACATATAAAGTGTATTTTTATGATAGCAGTAACTGTAAAGGGACTATTGTAATAGGTAAATCAAATGTAAGCGAGTAGGCTACAGTACTAATTACTAAGCTCAAATTAGTTAATGTGTGTTTCTTATAGCAGTTAAAATGTAGTCATTTTCTTTATTATTTATTTTCATTTTAATTCAGTGATTTTAACTTTTAATTTAGTTATTTTAATGCTTTAAAGAGCAATTTTAGATTGTAATGTTCTAATGTTCTGCTATCTGTTCTGCAAACTATAAAAGGTACAGCTGTAATAAAACCAGAGAGAAAGGCTGCATGGCTAGAAACTGTAAAAAAAAAAAAAAGTCAAATAATAGTATGTGAGACAGTGGTAATATCATTATGTTCCTATTGGTCAGTA